GTATTCACTGATTTGACAGAGGAAGAGAGAGAACATGGATGTGGTTGCTTCCCACAGGTGCCCCGAGAACCCACAGCATTTTGGTGTATGTCACAGACAACACCACTGCCAACTGAGCCACCCAGCCAGAGCTGTAAATGGAGCCACTTTAAAATAATATCAGTGGAGCCTGAGCTGCTTTTCCAGAGGCAGGTCTTTGCCTCAAACCTTTGGAATGTTAAACAGGGAAAATTAACCTTTAAACTGGGCCTAAAGCAACATTGTGGGACTAAAGAACTTTTTGCAAAGATAACAAGAAAGCAAATATTCTGCTTACTGGACTGCTGAGTATAGACTGGAAATGTATTAATTTTTTTAGAATTGTTTAGCAGTAGAGTCACTTAAAATTAGAGTCATTGATTAAAATTAGAGCCACTAATTCTTATCGGGACCAATAGAAATGTCTTTCTACCACCGGCCAGTGTGGCTCAGTTGGTTGGAGTATTGGTCTGCACACCAAAGTTTGCAGGTTCTGTTCCCCATCGGGGCACATGCCTAGGTTATGGGTTTGGTCCCCACTGGGGTACATATGAGAGGAAACCAACCAATGTTTCTCTCCCCCTCCCTCCCCGTCTCTCTAAGCTCAATAAGCATGTCCTTGGTGAAGATGAAAAAAAGACAGGTAGAGAGAGAAGAAGAAATTCCTTCCTGTGGTGTTGATATACTATATTTTGCTGTGTATAATGTACACATTTTTCCAATTTTTTTAGGGAAAAATAAGGATGATCATTATACATGGGTAATACTAATTCTGTATCTATATAAATGTGTTTTTTAAAGATTTTATTTATTTATCTTTAGAGGGGAAGGGAAGGGAAAAGGGAGAGATACATCAATGTATGGTTGCCTCTCATGCAAATCCTACTGGGAACTGGCCTGCAACCCAGGCATGTGCCCTGACTGGGAATCAAACCTCAATTCCCTGGTTCACAGGCTCACACTCAATCCACTGAGCTACACCAGCCAGGGCTATATAAATGTTTTTAATTGTCTTATTTACGCTTATGCGTTAAAAGTCTAATTCTAGAAAGCAACCATGATATCCGCATGCAAAGCCTGGAACACGATGATCAGTTTTGTTTCTAAATATGAATAAATAAATAATTGAACTAAAAAATAAAACGGAAGATTCTTTTCCTAAAGTTTTGGCCCAAAATTCAGGTGCTCATTATATACGGCAAAACGTGGTCACCGTTCCCCTTGCGGTTCTCCTAAGTGCCCCGAGCCCGTGCCCCTCCTCCTCAGAACGCGTTGTCTGGGCTTCTGCCTGAATCGCAGCCTCCCCAACAGCTATTCCTTTTGATCTCAGTGGTCGTCGGTTGCCTCTCGCTTTGGCCTTTTATTTTTAGGGTAAGTGTTTTCATATTAAAAGAATGTTTTAATATCCTTTTCCCTTATTGTTTCTCATTTTTTCTGAACTAAGCATGTGTAACATTTTCTTCTTTAATAAAAAAAATGTTAACTTAATTTCGGAGGGAATAAAACTTCATTTCCTCTGGTAGAATTCATCTTTTTATCTTCCTTTGCTTCTGAAGCTCTGTTAGCCCTGTTCCACGGGGTCCCGTGACCGTTCGCTCTCTGGTCTGTCCACCTCACCGGCCTGCTCACTGCTCTGGGACAGAGTCCGTGCCTGCGGATCTCTGGGTACCGGGTGCCTCACACAGCTCTACCACAGAAGCCGTCCGCAAAAGCTCAACAGAGGAAAGAAAGAAGGAATAAGCAACATCGGGCCCTGACACTTGGAGGATGCTTTTATGACAAAAAGCTGAGCCCTGGAAGAACAGTTTCTCCTGTTTACAGGGGAGGAAGATCTGCCAGATAAACAGACTGTGGCAAGAGGCGAGGCCAGATGGGCTGACCAAGTGAGGGAATTCATTTCCCCCTGGATATTAAAGATGTTATCTGGAGGGTGTGAGGCTGCCAGGGCAACCAGCGGTGGGGTGGGTGATTCTGGATGAAGCTCTCTATCTTAAGCTGCATCTACAGACCAGTTTTGTAAATGTAATAAAGCCCTGGCAGCCTGAGAGAAGCAGTGCCCATCCGTGGCCTCCCCACTTCTCCATAGCCCAGCCCGAGGGGGAAGCAGAGCAGACAGACCCCATGCTCTCTGCCCAGGACATGCCACCCTCATCTACCTGGCTCTTCCAAGTGACGTGACCTCGTCAAATGCCTTGGGACAGCAATTTTCAACCATCGTGGCGCAAGAATTTTTTAAACATGCAACATCTGACTATTCAGTCAGGGGCACTGACCTCTTTCCCTTAGATTGTCAAAGAGAAAAAAGGACAACGGTCTGAATAAAAGAAGGTGAAGAGATCAGACAAAGAACGTACACGAACACACAGACATGGTGTGGGGAAGGCCAGGGGAGGGAGGCAAAGAGCGGGAACAAGGGGGCGCCTGGAAGAGTGCCAACGATAAATAATAGGAATAATAAAAAATTAAAAATGGCAACGGCCAACACAACAGCCACCTGGTGTGAATGAATCAAAATTATAACTATTTTTTGTCAGCTTGGCAAAAAATATATGTATGTTTTTTGGTGTCCCACAGAATTTTGTCAATTGGTTTATGTGTGATGGAAAAGATTGAAATTCGCTGCCTTAGGGTTAGACACAGGGGTCGGGCCAGCAGCCCGAGGCGGTGACTTTCAACCTCTTCCATCTCATGACACATACAAAGTAATTATTAAAGTTCTGCAGCACACCAAAACATTTTTGCCGATCTGACAATTAAAAGGTATAATTTTGATTGATTTACCAAAACAAAAATATGAGTAGTAATTACCTACCCTTTTTGCTCCAAGGTGAGTTTTTAAAATATCGGGTGCCTATACTTGTGTATAAGGATTTCTAGTACCAAGAATTAACCAACAGGCACAACCTTATGTGACATGGCCAATATGGCCAAGACAGGGCTTTCACACCGGACAGCTATTGTTGTGCTGGCTGTTGTCATTTTTAAAATTGACAGTCTCAGGGGAAAGAGGTCAGCACCCCTGACTAAATAGTCAGGTATTACATGTTTTAAAAATTCTTGAGGCACACTGGTTAAAAATCACTGCTCTATAGAACTTGACACTTTAAAAAATGTTATTTTTAATTGTTCTTATAACAGCTACAAAAGAATATTCATAACACATGTCTTTCCCTATCTCATCCCTTTCCTTGCTTTCCAAGGTAACATCTACCCTGAATTCACATTTATCATTCCCTTAATTCCCTTTATTTTCTTTATATATTCTTTATAAGTTCCCTTAATTTTCTTTATAATTTAACCATCTCTGGTTGGTTGGTTGGTTTGCTTGGGAAAGGAGAAGGGAGGGAGAGAAAGGGGGAGAGAAACATCCATCAGCCCTGACCAGGAATCAAACAGGCAACCTTCCTTTCACTTTGCCGGAGGACAGACACCCCACCAACTGAGCCACACCAGTCATGGTGCTGTTACGAATTTTCTTGTACCCAGTGAGTTTTCCTGAGGTTTACGTAGGAGAAGATGGGCTGGTTCACAGGGAATGCATGTCTTCAGCTTTACCAGATCATGCCAAATTGTTTGTTTCTACAGAAATGGAGATCACATGGAAGGTTATTAACAGGGGAGTGGGAGGGAGAAAGAGAGGGGAAAAGGTACAAGAGAATAAGTAGCACAAATGGTAGGTAGAAAATAGACAGGGGGTGGTTAAGAATAGTATAGGAAATGTAGAAGCCAAAGATCTTATATGTATGACCCATGGACATGAACTAAAGGGGGGGAATGTGGGTAGAAGGGGGTGTGCAGGGCAGAGGGGAATAAGGGGAGGGGAAAATGGGACAATTGTAATAGCATACTCAATAAAATATATTTAAAAAGAAAAATATCCTTTGTTAATCATGAATATGTCTCTGTCTTCCCCCTCTAGCTAAATTGTTAACCCTGGGGGGGAGGGGTAAAGAGGACAGAAAATGATTTAGATCACAAAGGATCCTGTAGAAATACAACTTCCTGTTGCCCTTACAGCTCTCTTCACATCTGTCAAAGTGCTGGAGACAGAACATAACTTATAAGAGCCCTTCAATGAAGTCAAGATTTTTCAATCGCTAGGCTGGAAAGTTACAGACATTTTTAGTTTTGCTTTGTTTTTTAAAGAACCAATCACGCCCTGGCCGGGTGTCTCGGTTGGAGCGGCGCCCATACACACCTACCTGGTCAGGGCGCAAGCCTAGGTTGCCCTTTTGATTCTGGGTCGCCCGGGTACAGGAGGCAGCCCATGGATGTGCATCGATATTTCTCTCTCTCCTTTCCCTCCCTTCCCCCCTCTCTAAAATCAATACCAAAAAAAAAAGCATCATTGGGTGAGGATTTAAAAAACAAAACAAAACAAAACAAAAAGAACTAATCATAATAAGACCAAGAATGTTAAGTTGAAAGATTTTGCTACAGCCAGATGAGGGCGTGGATGCACGGAGGTGAACTCGCTGCACGCTCTCGGGAGACTAGTGTGGGTGAAGTTGTTTATTTTGCCCCAGGTGTTGCCTTATGATCTCCGCTTGTGCCACGTCTCTCCAGCTTCGCGGATAGTTCTCCAAAGTGAGGGCCAAATTCTGTTGGTTCAAGTCCCTCCAGGCTTGGCACCCAGCCAACCGCTCATTTCCTTTACAAGTTTACCGATATCCCCCCAGAAATGCACGGTCCCGCCGCGGTGCTAGGAATTACAGTCAGGGAGGCGGGAACGCGCGGCGTTCGCGAAGTGGTACTTGAGCTGTAACCACTGCTTCTTACCCCTGTCTTACTCCGCGGAAGGAGCCCCTGGAGAACTTGTCTTGAGGACGGGAAGTGGGATCCACTAAAACCTTGAGAGGCGTCCCTGGGTGCTATGGGCTGGATCTTGGGAGGCTTCGCGGGACGGAGGTGGGGGAGGGCGTGAGGAGACCAACCGGACTTTAGAACCTGTTACTGAGAGTGTTGCAGTAAGAGGGTGCAAAGTCGACATCCGCGCTTGGTGCCTTGGCCCACGGGAGACAGGGAGTCTGGCGGGTCACTCTGGCTTCCAGGCCGCGAGTACCGGAGCCGACCCCCACAACCCGCACCCTCTGTGTGCGCGGTCCCGGGGCAGGGGCGGGCCCTGAATCCCCGGTGCCGGGGGCGCGTCACGGGCGCCCGCTCCTGATTGGAGGTCCCCGCGGTCCGACCAGGCGCACAGGGGGGTTTGGCATCGCCAGAGGCCGGAACCGAGTAACGGGACTCGGGGTGGCGGGAGGCAGTCGGAGAGCCCAAGGGCTGGCGTCGGTGTCAAGCCCAAAGCCCACGCTGGGAGCCCGGCCTTGACGCGCCATGCCCTACGTGCTCATCAGCACCCAGATCCGCATGGTGAGTAGCCCCGCCTGACCAGTGGAGTTGGGGCCGGGCCTGGGCTTCCGGGGCTGCAGCCGCACGTTGGCGCCTCCCTCCAGGGTAGCGTCTAGGGTGCTTCTCAGCGAAGCGGTCCGAGACACGCCCGCCCCACCCCGGGCCGCGGGCTGGAAGCCTGGGGATGGACTCTGCCCGGCTCCCGGGACTCTGGCACGCCCTTCAGGGCCGCTAAGAAGGCCAGGTGCATGCGTCCCCGCAACCCAGCGAGCTCCGGGTGCTCGCGGCGGGGAAACCCTGACCTCATACGTGCAACACCCACTGCTCTACACAGAGCCTTCTTCTCGGGAGGGTAGAAGGAGTGCAAAAACCTGAGGGAAAGAGGTTTGAAAAAAGAGGCTATAACACCTGTCCCAAGTGCCCGGCCCACCCACAGCCGCTAGCTGCACCCTTAAGCGCATCCAGGGAGAGCTGTCCCTGAAGCCTTAGGAAAGGAAAAGAAAGACCTTTCTGATCGCTGAGAAAGGAAGGGGAGACCATCACCCATGAGGTTAGAGGTGGGAAGAACACTATTCAGGAGTCAAAAGTTGCTTCCCTTCTCTGGCTGTAGTTTCCTGGTTGCCCCAAAGGTCCCCGTTTAGGTGCAGAGTGATATGACTTGGTCCCCAGCTGGACAGCAGGTCCCTCTCCTCTGCCCCTTCTCACTCCCAGGGCCCGAGTGATTCATCGGAGGGTAAGCAGCCTCCTGGGGGTGAAGGAAAGGGCTGACTCACTAGGTGACAGGAGCAGTCTCGGCAGTGCCTAGGGCAGTGGTTTGAGAACTAGTCCCTTGGACTCTTGGGCCCCTTCCCAGACCTCCCCAAACACTGTAAGCCTGGGTTGCGGGAATTCAGTGGTCCTCAGGTGATTTAAAAAAAAAAAATCAGCTTTATTGCTATATAATACACATACCATAGAAGTCACCAATATTACAACTCAATGGTATTTGTGATTATTTTTAGCATACTCAGAGTTTTGCAACCATCCTCCTAATACATTTGGGGACATTCCTATCACCTTAGCAGTCACTCCTCATTACCCCTGCCCCAGTCCCCCAGCCCTAGGTATCCACCCATCTACTTTCTGTCCCAGTACATGGTCCTGTATCTGGCATCTCTCATTTACATAAGGTTTTCAAGGTTCATGTGTACTGCAGGAGGTATCAGTACTCATTTCTTTTTATTGCAAATAAGATTCCATCATATGTCTACACCAAATTTTATTTATCCACTCAGCAGCTGAAAAACTTTTTGCTGATTATGAATAATGCTGCTACAAACATTCGTGTACAAGTTTTTGTTTGGACAAGTGTTCTTGTCTCTGTTCTCCAGCTGATTCTGATAATACCAAATGGGTGGTGGGTGGTGCCTGGCATGAAGGAGTCAGTTCAGGCACTGCCCAGCTCTGCTTGGAGGGGCTAGAGAAGCCTTGCATTGCTTGGTGGGGTCACTGACTGGCCTCACTCTTTGCCAGCTTGTTCTCAGCCCTCAAGTTCCCTCACCAACCCCTCCAGGCTTTACCTGAAGCTGACTCAGTGCCAGCAGACAATGAAGGAAGGAGAGTAGAGACCTTTCACCTCTACCTGGCAGCCAGCTGAGCATCCCCTGTTGCTTACCTTGCAGGAGGTGGGCCCCACCTTAGTGGGCGATGAACACTCAGATCCAGAGCTGATGCAGCATCTGGGGGCCGCAAGAAGGCACGTCCTGGGAAACAACTTGTAAGTAGTGGCATTCCTAAGTATCTTCTCACTGGCCCCCAGACCAGTCCCTGCTCCCTCACACACCACCAAACCCAGGGGCAACGCCACCACCCAAACTCAGAGTCCCTCTGCCTGCCTACTGGGGCTCTGCACTCATGTAAGGCTGGTCTGGGCTGGTCTCTAGCCTCACAGCCCCCCGCCCCCACCCCAGGCTTGCTCTGAAGGCTTTCCCACTGGCCCTCCCTTCACACGAGAGCCCAAGGACAAAGTCCCAGGACAGAGTCTAGTTTTCTGGAGATAGATCAATGTTAAGTGGACTGTTCCTTGCCCTACCCCCTTTCAAGCTGGACCTTATCAAGGCAAAGACAGGCACAGAGGAAAAGGTTTGTCTTTGAAGAGCCATCTGATTAACAAAGCTAAGCCCTAGAAATGGAGCAGGCAGCTTAGGTCCTACTTCCAGCTCAACCAGGTGCCTGGGGACATGGCCACTTCCCTTGGCGTTCTTTGTACCAGTTCTGCGTCTAAACAGTGAGAGAGCTGCCTCCTTCCCTGCTCCTCCCCACCTCATGCCCCAAAGGCATGGAGAACTCTGGCTCCACAAGCTGCAACTCCTTAGAAGGGTCCCCAGGGTGAGTCCCAAAGATGGCAGCAAAGGGGAGGAGAGCTGGTGGCAGCCCCTTGGGTCAAGGTCGGAGGGTGAAGCCAACCCTATCCCTTTGCCACGAGGCATTTGTCTGGAGATGCCCAGCTTGGGGCTTGAGCCCTTCATCTACTTGTTGGCTCTTTAGAATTCATTCACGCTGAAAGAAGAAAAGGCAAGCATTCTGTGCCAGGGAGAGGCACCCAGAGCCAGGAACTATTAGGGCCACACTGTTGTCCCAGGTCTGTGGGACAGCCCGGGCAGCAGGAGGGCCAAAGGCCTGGGTGAGGACCTGGGGAGCGCAGCCAGCTGCCCCTGAACAGTGCGGCAGGTGAGGGCGGGTGAGGCTGTCATCTGACTAGCATGGGTTCCACTGTCTTAAGGCATCGGGAAAGCCACGTAAGCCCTCTAAGTTCTCTCATTTATAAAGTGAGAACAATCAATGAGCCTCCTCAGGTCGTTGAGACGAATAAATGAGACGACGCACAAAAAATGCTTGCCACGGGAGGGGACAAGGAACACGCACTTGGCCTAGGAGACACCAGCAAACGAGTGAGGTACTGTCAAACGTGCGTCCCTGACCACTGTACGCACTCTCACACTGCCCCCTCCTTCCGTTCACAGCCAGGAGTACTACGTGGATGACCCCCCTCGGATAGTCCTGGACAAGCTGGAACGCAGGGGCTTCCGCGTGCTGAGCATGACCGGTGTGGGCCAGACACTGGTGTGGTGCCTGCACAAGGAGTGACTCAAACTGAGGAGCACACAGGGCACCCCTTTTTTGGTTGCCAGGGGCCCCAATCCCAACCCCCACCTCACTCACAGCCCTGCCCCTCCCTTCCCAAATCGCCAGTTTTCCTGGCCCCAGCATCACTGAGCAGTGAATGGCCTACTTTGAAACCCGCCTCATCAAGGGGCAGGGGGAGCAGCCCCTCCACCTTCTGGTCTGGCTTGAGGGCTCTGGAGGGTGGGCTGAGGCGCTGGCGAGAGCTAGGCTGTCCTTGGCCAGGAGCAATGGCCCCAGGACTGTGTAGCTAGTTCAAGCCAATAAAGGGCCATAAGTGTTGATACTAAGCTCTGCACATGCAGGAACTCTCACCAAGTGCAGTGCCTTCCTGAGTGTCTGTCCACTGCCGGGGAGGGAGTGCCAGCCTGGGCAGAGACTCTGAGGCAGAGCCCAGCAACCAGGGCCACGGTTGGACAGGCCAGCACCCTGCACCCCTACGTAAGCAAAAGAAGCAGACTTTAAAAAAAAAATTTATTGGTGAGGGTTAAGAAAAGGCTGTGGGGTGGCAAGACTGGAGCTACGTGGGCTGTCCCAGCTTGTCTTCCTGTTGCATTTGGGCAATCAGCTGCTGCCGCTCAGCTGCTTGGCGCATGCGCATCATGACGAGGCTTTCGTAGTCCCTCTCAGACACCACTGAGCCCTGGGAGACAGAGACACAGGGAGGGGTCAGGGCACAGCCCCAGACTCCAGACTCAGAGGACAGAGCCTCAGCGGAGCTAGTCAAGAGTCGAGGAAGAACGATGCCCAGGAAGAGGAGGAGCCCGGAGCAGCCTGAAGTCCCTGTTTCTTCCAAGCCTCTGGCCTCCAGGTGGCTCCTCGACCCATGTCCACCAGTGGCCACCCCCACTGCCCCCCCTCAGGCCCTTCACACCTGCAGTCAGCTCTGGTTCATCTTTCCCGGGTCATTCGCTTATTCATGCTCTAGGCGGGCCCGCACCCCCTTCGTTTCCCCTCAGCCCTCTGCCCCTCTGCTCTGCTGCTCACAGGCCGCCAGCGAGGGGACGTGTCAGAGGTTGGGAAGCCCACTCTGCTCTGCCAGGTGGAGGTGGCAGCACTGCTCCCTCGCAGCTGCCCATCCTCCTGTGGCCTGGCTTTTGCTGAGGACACAGAAGGAAGCCCCACCCCAGTCTCAACCAGCCCCACCCTGAAAGAGAGAAACAAGCAGAAGACTGGCTTGCCTCCTAAAAATACACGCCAGGGTTCCTGGAGGGTAGGGCTGTAGCTTTTTCTTTTATGATCTTGCCAGCAGAATGCAAGGGATTAAAGACTGCTGCATTTTAATAATCAAAAGAATAATAAACAACCACCTCGATGGGCCTAGGCTGAGGGGTGGAGAGGCAGCTGTACAATGCCACGAGCCCTGAGTGGCCAACCCCACGCCCTGATAAGGTCGCAGTGGGAATGAAATCACTTCCTCCCTTGAGGCAGCTGGAGCTGTGGGCAGTGTGAAGCCCACCTGACGGGGCGCAGAGGCGAGCCAGACCAGGGGCTGCCGAGCAGGCAAAGGTGCGGAGCCCTGTCCCGTGGCATGCCGAGCTGGTGCACTCTCGTGGAGTAAGTCAGGAGGAGGTGGTGGTCAGTGACCCAGAGAATAAGAAGGGAGTGGCTGGGGTCAAGGTGCCAGGCCCTGGCCAACTGGTTTGGAGGGAGGGGTGTACAGAGCAAGGAAGTGTTATTCAGCCCAGATCCCCCTGCTCCTCCCAGCCGCCCCACCCCTGCCCTGCTCCTCTCTCCTAGGCTGCAGAGCTCCAGGGAGAGCTGCCCTCCCAGACAGGCCAGGGCGCTGCGGACAGGTCAAGGCAGTCCACATGGCTCAGCCCCCTCTGCAGAGGGGGGGCCTCAAGTGAGGCCAGGGTGGCCCACGGGCAAGGACTGGAGCACAAGATAGGAGGCAGCAGGACCCTGCCCCTCAGCTGCTCTCCCCTGCCCTGAGGCCATGGAGTAAATGAGGAAGAATGAGGAAACCCAGCAGCCAGACTGGGTGCCAGGCCAACGGGAGGGCAGTTCTCCTCTCCCCAAGGAATACTGCTTTGCTGAGAAAACTCAGAGTCACCCTGGCATACCCTGAGCCCAGCCCTGGGAAGAGCTGGCCCTTTCCTGGCATGGGGCTGCTCCCTGTTAACACACCCTCTGCCTGCTACCCCCCATACCTGTGGGCTCTGCTAATGAAGGCTTGTCACCAGGCCCCAGGGCTGAGTCACCCACACCAGCAACAGGTCCCTTCCTTCCCTAACAATCGTTCCACGCGCCTGCCTTTCAATTAACTGCCACCCTCCCTGAACTCCTCCCTCCCAGACACACCAGGGACTGGGCAGCTGGGCCACCTGCTAGGGCCCCGGGTGGTGGGGCAAAAGGCGACAGTGTGGTGACACAGAAAGCAGGGCTGGCCCCAGACCAGCCCCCAGAGGAATCTTAAGCTTCCTGGTAGTTCTGGGGCGTTGGCCACGGCTGCTCCAACCCCTGCATGCAATGCTGCAATCACCTCAGAGCGTGAAACCCCGGCTTCCCACCTGACTGAGTCAGCTGAGAACAACACACCTCCACGCCACACACCAGCACAACCAGCTGGGCACTAACCGCAGGCAGGGCGCCTCGGCAGAGAGCGCCAGGGGCCAGGGAGCGAAGGAAGGAGCACACGAGCTCCTGCCCACCTGAGAAGACCCGTCTCCGACGCCCCTGGAGCTGCTCTCACTCGGCTCCAGTAAGGCTGCTGCTTCGTCTTTGGGTTTTTTCCACTATCAGGTAACTGGGCCGCTCCTGTCCCTCCGGGAAACTCTGGACACCAGGAGCTCACAGCACTCTGCTCTACTCTTCCTGGGGCCTGGTCTCAACACCCAGGATGCTGGCCTGAGGTCTGTGCCGGGTGGAAAGCGGGCAGCCTCTGCTGAGAGTCCACGGGGGCTATCTCCTGCTCCTTGTCATTCACTGCTCCAGCAGGAACCAGATGCCCCCTGGCCACTCTTGAACTGGACTTCTAAGGTCTGCTGGCAACCTAGGTCCATGGAGACCTGGCGGAAAGGCTCCTTCCGCAATGCCTCCTTCTTCAAGCGGCTGAGCCTGGGACGGCCTCGGCGACTACTCCGGCGGCAGGGCAGTGTGCTGAGCCAGGCCAGCGTGGCTGGCGGGGACCACGAGGAGTACAGCAACAGAGAGGTGGTCCGGGAGCTTCGAGGGAGGCCGGATGGCCGGCGCCTACCTTTGTGGGGGGACGAGCAGCCCCGGGCCACACTTCTGGCCCCTCCTAAGCCCCCACGCCTCTACCGGGAGAGCTCCAGCTGCCCCAACATCCTGGAAGCCTCTCCTGCCTACACTGCGGCCTACTCGGTTACCCTGCCCTCAGCACGCTCCCTGGCAGGCCCCCTCCACGAACACTCCGAGGAGGACCTTGTGGATGCGCCCCCCTTCCAGAGGACACCTGCTCCGGACCTTAATGACCCCTTCTTCTCCTTCAAAGTGGACCTGGGGATTTCACTTCTTGAGGAAATTCTACAGATGCTGCGGGAGCAATTTCCCAGTGAGCCTGGCTTCTGAATGGGGTGAGGGTGGGCAGAAGTGTGGCGACTGAAGAGCCAAAAGCCTGGGACCCAAGAAAGGAAGGTACACTCATGGATTAAGAAAAAGGTGGGGACAGGAATCCAGGACCCTGCCTGCCCTCTGAGTCCTCAACAGTCCTCCAGATCACCCCCGAGCGGAGGGCCACAGGCAGAGAGGCAAGCTGGACATGTGGTGAGCCCTGAAGGGTGCTGGCTGGGTGGGCAAAGGGAGGCCATGCTGCAAGCCCAGGGACCGGGCAGAGGCCGGCAGGGGGGTGGGTGGCACACAGGGTGAGTCAGAGAATGGAGGACACACAGACTGGAGAGAGCAGGTGGGTGATGCCCTGACCCAGCCTCCTCTGACGCTACTGTCAACACAGAGAGGTTACAGGACAGGTCTGGGCTCACGTGGCCCACACCAGGCCTAAGAGGGAAGGGGAAGATCTGAGGAGAGAAGCATGGCACGGCCTTGACTTTGTCCAATGTGGCAGCTACTAGCTACTTGCAGCTGTTTACATTTAAATAATTGAAACTAAGAAAGATGATAAATTTAGTTCCTCAGCTGCACTAGCTGCATTTCAAATGCTCAGTGGCCACACCCAACTGAGGGCTACCACACTGGGCCATGAGGGTGAACAGCGACATCGCTGGAAAAAGTTGTCCTGGACAGCACTGGCCTGGAGCAGGGCCACAGCCAGCAGGGAGGGGGGGGGGGGGGGGTGGGAGCATGGAGGCCTGCAGTGGCAGGGAGGGGCTGGTGGCAGGAAGAGCGAGGCACGTGCAGATCTGCAGATTGACTGTCACTTAGGAAAAAGGCCACACGAACCATTAGCAGAGAAGGGCACAGGAGAGACTCCAGCTGCCAACAGAGTGGCCTGGAGCAGCCCCGGTGTCTGAGGAAGGTGGCCCCAGGGACTGTCGGCAGAAGGCACTGACGCAGCTCTGAGGGGACGCTTTGGGGAGTTCCCAGAATTACTGCTGAGGGGAGTCCTTGGGAAATGCAACAAGAATGACGGCAGCTTTCCCCCCGTCCTGCTCCCTGACGAGAACCCAGGAGGACCGGACACACGAAACTCATGGCTGTTACCATGAAGAGGCACAGCTAGTCTCCAGAACCCTCCACCAGGACCGGGGAGCTCCACCCTGCCTAGACCCTCTGCAGATGGGGGCCTGCCACCCAGGGCTGATACCCCTGGGTCAAGGCCACACTCTGTGCTACTGCCCCACATGGTGGCTTGGCCAGAAGACTTGAAACCAGAGCTCAGGTCGGCTGGACCAGGTGGTTCTGAGATCGCAGAGGGAAGCGGGGACCTCTGATGCAGACTGCCTCCACAACTCCCGCCTGTGGCCTCCACCTCCCAGCTCCTGTGTGGGTGTGCCCAGAGGAAGGCTGCACTGAATGCAGGAGCTAATAAAGTTCTGTGTGACCGCCTATGGAACGTCGTCTGGGGCCATACAATGCAGGGACTTCGGGTGAGGGAATGAGCTCTCTAGGAAAGGATCTTGAGCTGGGCTCAGGCCAGTTCCTTTTCTTCCTCTGTCCAGGGTCTGCGACGTACCCCCAGAGAGCTTCCCCCTCTCACTGCCAGGGGAGGGGAAAGAGGGAGGGCTGGGGTGCGGTGACTGAGAGCAAAGGCCTCGCCGACCCACCAAGGGGCTCTCCCCCCAAGAACAGGTCGTGAACACGACACTCTGAGGCTCCCACACAGACTTGTGGGCCGTTTCGGAAAAGGGCGAGTTCTTGGCCTAGAAGAAGCTCTCTGTCCCATCAGAGTGGGGGCAGGTGTGACTAGGGCCTGTGTGTGTGTGGGGTGGGGGGAGCTGCTGAACGGAAGCCCTCATGGAGCTGTGGGGACAGACAGCTAGTGCTGAGGCGCAGTAGCAGGCGCCCAGGCCACAAGCGCTCTGGTGTCCACAGGGAGGCTAGTGTTACTTCTGAGGAGGGGTCAGTGCCTCTGCTCAGCAGGTCCTGTCCGGGCAGCCACAGACACACCTGGAAGATGAGTCGGGGACAGAAGCGGCTGTCCTCGTCCTCTGCCCCTTCCCCACAGCACCGGGTTCTCTCAGTGCCAAATGCTTCACACTAAGACCAACCAGCCCGAGGGCCAGAACCCCTTGGGTTGCTGACGAAGGTCCCCAACAGGACACTGGGATGTGGGGGGAGGTCTGAGAGTTGTGTGTGGTGGGGCCCACTGGCCTTCGCAGAGGAAAGGTGCTCAGGACGCAATCGTGGTCCTCCTGCTCTGGATGGAGGACCTACCACCCTGACTCCATCGGGATGACCTAGAGTTGCGAGGAAAGAGCCCAGACAGGAAAAGGCCCCCCGAATCCTCAGCAGGCCCACCTGTATGAGGCCTGGTTCCTCACCTGTGCCAGTCCTGGGTGGCTGGGGCCATTTCTGCCCTGAGGCCGTCCCTCCAACCAGGAAATCTTCAGAGGGTTATCGACCAGGCCCACTTCATTCTGGACAGCCAGCTCCTGCCAAACACAGCATCCAGTTAGTCCCATCACTCCAATCAGCTGGGGCGTGGCTCTCTCTACTCCAACAGAAAGTACCAGAACCAGCAATCTCATCCTCCAAGCAAAGCTGAGCAACCTTTCCTTTGGTATACTGAAGCTCTGACCCTCCTCGTGGGCGAGTGGGGTGTAAGCCTCTAACTGGGTAGGCGGACGAGGGGCAGAGACAGGGGCCGCAGCCTGAAGGTCTCCGGGGCACAATGGGTGTGGAGCCAGGCAGCAGGAAATGGAGCTGGTCTGCGCTCTCCATTATCCTGGAGCAGTCTCCCACCCTTCCCTAGGCTCTGAGCTGGCCCGGAGGTTCCCTGAGAGTGCGGGTACCTGCGCTCAGGGAACCCACAGAACTGAGACCCTGCCCTAGAATGGCAGGGCTGGCAGTGGCTCCCCAGAGCCTCACGCAGCACTCACCGCAGCCTTGATGGTTGCAAACTCCACCACGGCGGTGCCTGCCTTCTTCCTGGAAAGCACCAGGTTGAGCACCTCTCCATACTGTGGGGACAAGGGAGGCCCAGCTCACGCCACAGACAAGCCGCCACGACCGTGAGGCCCGTCGGGGCATGTTTAGCTGGGGGGTTACTTCTGGTTGCCAGGTTTCCGGAGGGCAGACCACAGATGGAAAGGAAAGCAGATTTTTTCCGGGAACGCAGAAGAAAAGCAAAGGAGAGTTGGGCAAAGGACTGGGACTTGGACTGGCAGAGTCGCGAAGCTGCCTCAGTGACCGAAGACGGTCAAGAGGACAGGGCTTTTGCGCCAGATGCCCACTTCCTCCCGCCCCACACACTCAGTCAAGGCCTCTTCTTCTAAGGATGGCCGGGGCAGAAGTGGGCAGTACAGGTGAGACAGGCTGGGGGGGGGGGCCAGGCCCAGCAACACAAGCAGGAGGAGGGCTGGAGCGGAGCCTGGGGGGAAGCCAGCCTGTCCTCTGGTCTATGAAGAGACACAAGGGCAGGTAGAGGTGTCGGGGCAGGTGACGCCCGGGTCTGCGCGGAGGCGATGGGAAGGAGGGGAGTCGGCAGGGCAGACCTTCTGAAAAAGCCGCAGGAGGACATCTCTGGAGTAGCCGCCGTCTGACCCATCCTCCTTGCACTTCCACTTGAGCTGGAAAGACAGCAGAGGGCATCACCACGGATTCCAGCCTCTGCCTGAACAGCATGGGACCCCACACCAGGCTTTACAGTCTGAACAGACTCCCTCCACTAGTAACCCAGGGAGCACCCCTCGAAAATGTGTTCCCTTGAAAACGGACAAGCAGGGTGGCCTGCTCACCCGCAGCCACGTCTCCAGCCCTGTCCGGTGCTCTCCTGGAGGGTTCCTGGGGAGTGCCGCCTGCAAGTCAGGGCTGAGGGCGGCCTCCCGTGGCGGGCTCTGAGAGGCCCTCCTGATCGCCAGGTGCAGGAGACAGAAGGGTGTGGGAGGTAGTGCGGGCCCCCAGAGATCCAATGGCCCCACCACGTCCCACCAGAACCCCTTGAGCCATAGGAAGTACGTATTCTTGCTGAGAGGAAGTAGTGCCAGGTGACCCATGGGTTCCCACGGGGCTCACCTTTAGCTTGGGAGTTTCTTTGCCTTCAGGATTTTCTGCCTTTCCTAGGAAATTTGGAGAAATTAGTGAGGTAGAGTATGAGGAGAGATAAAAGGAGACACAGTCCAGGGCCAGAAGGACCTAGAAAAGGTCACTCCCAACCAAGGGTGCCTGCTGCTGAGGAGCCTGGTGGCGAAGGGAGAGGCAATTCTGCAGCCACCCCTGGGACCCACTGCCCTGGGGCAGGCTGCCCAGCTGCCTGCTGAAGGGCACGGTTAGCACCCCGTCAGCGCAGGGCTGTGAGCACCTCTGGGGGCGGGATGCAGAGGCACAGGCCACGCCACTCTACTAAAACAAAGTATCCCGGAGTCTTTCTCCTCGTGACCTGCTCCAAATAGAGCCAGGCTTACTTGTGACTAAGACATACCAGCCCAGGAGATCTAGGGCAGAATGAAAAGCAAATAGGCCCCAGAGAATTGGCAGGAGGAAGGGACAGGTGGCATGCATGCAAAGTGGGGTGCCACCAGGGTCCCAGCGGGCGGAAGTCTCTACAGCAACTCCACAGACAGCTACCTCCGAGTGGGCGGCGGTGCAGGTGAGGGCCTCTCACCTCTCAGCCTCTGCTCCCGGTCCCGGCGTATCTGTTCCTGGATCAGCCTCTGCTGCTCCTCCAGCTGCCGGGAACCCTCCTCTCGCAGGCGTTCGATCTGTAGAGCGGGGGGTTGAGGGGTGACAGTTCTGTGCAGATCCAATTCCAGGTTGGCTTCCCTTGTAAAGGTCCCTGGGAGGTTCCGCCTGTAAACTAGGGCTCAGTGACCTGCAGGTGGGACAGATTACCCAGACCCCACAGAAGAAGGTGGGGAGGGTACGGCCGCCCCAGCCACCACAGCCACCTCAGTCCACCTTCCTCTACCTGCTGCAGATGGCCTCAGGCCCGCACACCCGGAAGCTCACCTCCTGCTCTAGTGTCCTGGTGCTGCGGCTCTCCTCCTCCTCCTCACTGCCCTGGGCCTGCGCCTGCCGCTCCCGGGCCTCCAGATCTAGACACAAGGGTTGAATGGCGCAATGGCTGGTCTAAGCAGTTTCCATGCGGCCTCACACCCCCAGGCCTGGCTACTTCCCCAGTCTCGCACAGGATAAAACCATGAAGTAACTCTGCCCCTCCCTCCATGCCCACGTGCCCTCAAAATAATGTCCATTACAAAAAAGTCAGAGCACAGAAGAAGTGCAGGCTCCAGCCGAGTGGCCAGGGTCTGGAAGCATAAATCAGCCACGCTGACCGAGCTGGTTCTCTGAACAGGAACAAGGTGTGGGTGGGTCCTCATGTCAGCAACCTGGGGCCAAGCGTCGGGAAGGCAGGGAGTGGGGCTGTGGGCCTTCGCTCCTCGGTTTGGCGCCATAGTCTGACCTGCAATGTGGCGTGGCCTTGATGTGTTTTCTGCCACTGAGCCACGCTGTCACTGTCTCCTTCACCTGCCCCTCAACTCACATTCACCAAGCCTCACTGTGAACCCAGCCACAGTGGCTCCTACAGAGAGGGCAGATTCTCTGTGAGAATCACAGCACTCAGGTTATAAAGCCCTTCCTGCCTTCCAAGGGCAACCTGCTTGTGGCCCTGCTCCAGGACAGCTGCTGTGACCCTTCTCTCAGGCCTGGGACTCACTGCTTTCTTTTCTGTGCACTTTACTTTCCTACAATCTCTGAAGTTTTTTGTTTGTTTTTGGTACAGAGGTGGATGCCTAGAATAGTATATGTACATATAACATACATGGGTAGCAAGTAGGCAAGAAGACGGGGAGAAAATTGAGTGAAGAAGGCCCGGACCAATCTTACTGTGTGATGAAACTGACTTGCAGCCACAGTTACAGCACTTGGTAAATTACTAGAAATCACTGAACTGTACAATTGAAATGAGTGGATATTGTAATATTAAAAAGTATAACAATAAAATAGTTTAAGATCCTTCTGAGGAGACTTCTCAAAATGAAAGTGCTGTGATGAAATGTGGCTGGTGTGGCTCAGGGGGTTGGAGCAAACCAAAAGGTGGCAGGTTTGATCGCCAGTCAGGGCGGACACCCGGGTTGCTGGTTCAATCCCATTTTGGGGCATGTATGAGAAGGCAACCAAGTCAGTGTTTCTCTTTCACATCGATGTTCCCCACCTCACCCACGTCCTCGGGCGAGAATAAAACAATGAGGCTGGGACGAATAAAGGGACCCAGGACAGCACCGTGAGCAAGAGCACGGACACACTCAGACCTCGAGGGCTAAAGCTCAGCTTCAGCACGTCCTCACCCTTGGTGCTGTAGCTTCTTTGTCCACAAAGATGGGTTTAGTAATACCCACCCTTGGAGCACTGTGATAATTAAAAGAGATAATAAAAAATAAACAAATAAAAAATAAAAGCGATAATAAAACATTTGTCACAGCACTTAGCTAATAGTAAATCCAGCCATTGCTATTATTTCTGAGAGTGTCTTTTAGGATCCACCTTTGAGAACAAGGTTCTTCTCAGAGCTGGTGCCAAAATGCTTTATGCTGCTGCAACAGAATGAAGCTCCAAGAAGAAAGGTGAGGGAGCCGCATAAAAACAGCCCAGGGAGCCCTGACCGGTGTGGCTCAGTGGGTTGAGTGCTGGCCTGCAAACCAAAGGGTCACTGGTTCAATTCCCAGTCAGGGGACATGCCTGGGTTGCAGGCCAGGTCCCCAGTGGGGGGCATATGAGAGGCAACCATGCATTCATGTTGCTTTCCTTCTCTTTCTCCCTCCCTTCCCCTCTAAAAATAAATAAATAAGATCTTTTTTTAAAAAATGGCCCAGGGAAACCACAGGCCACCCAGCACCGCGATGTCACCTACCAAGCTTTACTTTCTTCCTCCTCTCATCTAGTTTCTGGGTCCTCTCTGCTGCCTGCCTCTTGGCTTTCCTGACCTTGTCGTACGCGGCCTGGCAGGAGAAAGGAATGCGGGAGCAGTCAGCCAGGGAACAAGCACACGGCCCAGCCGCCTTCCTGGCCCTGCCACCGAGCCCCGGAACCACTGGGAGTGTGTCTAGGCTGGGACGGCAAGGACTGTGCTTCGTGGCAGAGGGCAGAGAACCGAGACTGGACCCCCACGGTGATCTCTAACCACGGGGACGACTGCAGTAGAGGAGGACATGCTCACCCTGGCCGCAGCGTCGGTCAGTACCTCCAAGGCCTGAGAAAGCTGGTGGAAGAGTTCAGCTAAACACAAGGATCAAAAAACAGAGAGGAGAAAAATTAAGTTAGATTCGGGGACGGTGCAGTCCCTCAGAAAAAGCACCTCCAGGAAGCCACAGGTAGGCAAAAAGCTGACATCAGCAGGTGACAAGATCAGCAACAAAGGGTGAGTGCCTCAGCAACCTACCGACACCCCTGACCCCGGGAGCCAAGCCGGGCGCCCAGCATTCCTCAGCACTCCCACAGGAGTGCAGCCGGCGGACGAGCCATGCCCAGGCGGCTGGCCTCCTCCTCCCCACGCCTCGGAGAGCCTCACCTGCTCTGGGATTATCTGGATTTTTGTCTGGGTGGCAGGAGAGGGCCTTCTGCCTATATGCCTTTTTCACCTGGAAGAATCAGAAGACAAAGTCATTCACTTTCTCTCACCCGGGATGAAGAGGAAAACCTTGCTAAAGTGACAAGGGAAATCCAGAAAGTGTCCCTCACTTCTGAAAGAGAGGCTGCTGGCTCCTGCGCCAAGGTCGTCAGTCACCTTATGACCACCAAGGAGACTGGCAGCGGAGAACGCAAAGGCATGGAGGGAGCCCACTGCTGCCTGGAGCAGAGGGGCTGGGCCTACTTCCTGCCGCGCATCCGATCTCCCCACCAGGTTGGGGACAGGCTCCTGGCGGGGGCAGGCCCTCCACAGCCACCTGGGAACTCACACTCACTCTCAGTAGGCATGTGAGTTGGGGCAACATTTCTGGAGGAAAATTCTGCCATTGAAATTTAGAAGGTACTACTTCCCCTTTACCCCACCCCTAGGAATTCGGACTCACAGAAGTGCCAGCACTGACACACACGCCCCTGCACCACTGCTCACGTTGCCCCCACTGGAGCCAGCAGGAACCTCCACCGACAGGGAGACCCATTAAAAACTGGGATAGGTGGAAACCCATGTGTGCCGACTAGAAAGGTCTCCAAGTCATCACAAGGAAAAAAACATTCTGTAATTATGTGTGGTGGCAAATGCTGACTGTGGTGATCATTTCATGTTATATACAAATATCAAACCATTGTGTTATATCCCCCAAAACTAAGGCAATGTGATGTGTCAATTATATCTCAATTTTAAAAAGAAAAGAAAAAAGAAGGATCTTCAAGGTATAGTGTGCATGGAGGATGGGAAGGCTTAGAACACATACATAATATGATCAGTTTGTCAGTTTGGGGTTTAAAATAAACAGAGAAATGAGGCCCTGGCGGGGGGTGGGGAGGCTCCGCAGGTCGGAGTGCCGCCGGAGAGGCCAGGGTTGCGGGGTGCGGGCTGGACCCAGGACAGGTGCACGCGGGATCCGTCAGCGGTGCGTCAGGGGTGCAGCAGCAGACCGGTGTTCACTTCCCTCTCCCCCGTGTCCCCTCTCTCTCCCTCTAAACATTCAATTTTAAAAAGACCCATTCTTTAAAAATATATAAACAAATGAAATCAAAATAGTTCCGATACTCTGGCACGTGCAGAGCTTGTTTATTGTTTTCCTCGAAGCGATCATAAGAAATGTAAAAGTTATTTCCCCTGGAGAGAAGCTAAGGACGGAGGGGAAGGAAACCTTTACATCTCATTTTAGGCCATTCTGCACTTCAAATTTTCAAACCTTAAACAAGTCTTACTTTACTATCATTTTTGGTTGTCAACAAAGGTTATTTTGGTGGGAGGTTTTGGTCCATTTTTAACTTTTAACTTTGCATATCTGATTTGAAAAGCTACATTTCTTATTAGTAAAAATAAATAGCTACCAAGATTCCCTCTCATATATTACCCACTTGGCTGGTTTAGGGGAAGGCAGAGCACAAAGTCCCAGAATCTGTGCTCTGTTTCCTGAGGGGCTCGTACTCACTTCTGCCTGCAAACCTGACCTGCTGCCCAGCCCTCCCACGAGGAGCCCCGGGACCCAGAACTTCCACTCCTCAGAGGGAACTGACAGACGTCTGTCCAGTGTGTGCCGAATAAGGGTGGGCAAGCTCCCAGCAGCTGTGGGGGGACGACAGCCTGTGTAGGCAGGTGCCCCATTCCTCTCCCACTTCCGCCTCCAAGAAGGGCAGGCAGCTGCCTAGACCCCAGGGAAGTGCTGCCACCTGCTGGGCCACCGCCAGCACCACCCCTTCACCTGCCGAAGCCACTGGCCGATGCGCCTCTCCTGGCGGAGCAGGAGGCAGCAGGAAACGCTCCCTTTGTTAGCCCCCGGGGCTCTGAAATACTGTCATGCAAAGGGTAGAGGGCACGGGCCGGTGGCCTGAGATCTTCCAGAGAGGCCAGGAACCAAAACCCAGCTGGCCTAAGAATGCTGGTCAAGTGTGTCTGTCCTGATCAACTAGTTGTTGCTATCTTTAGCTGCTCAGCCCACTCTGGGCAGGGCCTTTCCCGGGTTTTAGCCTGGAAGGCCAGTTTTGACCTCGAACCAGCTGGCCTGGAGTTTGGTGTTTTGTGTTACAAACTGGACTCCCAGCTCTGCCCAGCCCTCCTGGAGTGACTGCTGCCTGAAGAATTTCTCACCAAGTAAACACGACTCTCCTAAAGCAGGCCTTGGAAAAGCTTCCAGTGTCAATATTGTTTATTATGAAATAATCCTGCCTCACAAGCAGCTCAGAGGCTAGATTAGGGGAAAAAGATGAAAAATATTTTTCTTTTTAAGATTTTATTTATTTATTTTTAGAGAAAGAGAGGGAGAGAAACACTGATGTGTGGTTAGCTCTTGTATGTCCCCAACAGGGGACCTGGCCCACAAACCAGACACATGCCCTAACCAGGAATCCAAATATCGACCCTTGGATTGAGCACAGCCTGGCACTCAATCCACTGAGCCACACCAGCCAGGGCAACAATATTTTTCTTAACTATGATAAAGTTGGGAAGAAAGAGGAACCTTTAAAAGAACAAATAGAGAGGCCAGATATAGAATGATGAGATAAAGACAGGAAGGACTGCTTATTCCCGGCATCGAGTTTGGCAGCTCCTCTATGAAACAGTTTGCAGGTGGTGGGATCGCTTAGGCAGAGTGGAAGTAGTCACAAAAGTTGCCAGACTACAACAGACATTGTCTTAACACTTGCAGTTTCCTTCTCCACCTGTAGGTTTCCCCTAAGTCCTCTGGTCCAGTTAATACTTGGAAACATTCATTTGCATTTCCTGAGCCTTCAAAAAGGAGCTAGGTGACAGCTAAGAGACTTCCCACCCACTGCCTTCCTGCCCTATTGAATGAAAGGGGCCAACATTCATTACTTCTCCACCAAAACAATTAGAAAGCCTCAACTATGTCAATTAGTTCAGGCCCCCTGAGGAGTGGAAGGAAGTGGATGCTGTCCCGCGCTAGGAGCCCATACCACTGTTACAATTTCCCCTCTACCTAACAGCTCCTCTTGAGAAACCAAGTCTGGAAAAGGGAAGAAATCACTATAGCAGACTGCCAGGAAAACCACGGTGGGAACTAAATGCCGCCCCCCCCCCACACACACACAGCCTGTATCACAGAGAAGAGTGAGTCATTAATTAATAGCCACCCAGCCCTTCCTGGAGTCCTCATAACTGGTTCCACCACTTGCAGCAACCTGAGCCCCAGCAGGTCACCTGCTGCTGCCAAGGGGCTTTGCACAGGGCACAGAGCAGGGCCCTCCCATCCAGTTTCCAGAGGTGCATCCAGTTCCACCTCTTGAGGGGAATGAACTCCTCCTGATTTACCCAAAAAAACACTAAGGGGTCCAGTAAACATAAAATAGCCATTATTAACTTAAACCAAAGGCGCCCTACAAAGAAAACATTTTTTTAAAAGGCCTTTGTTGGAATAAAACTTGGAGCCAGGTAAGTGATATAAAGTAATTAGGCCCTGTTCTCAAAAGACAGGCTCGTAAATGGGACTCAGATGTGGAGACTCCCAGGGAGGACTCAGATGTGGCGGACACTGGGAGGCCACTCTGTGTGACGACAGGTACCGAATGAACAAAGCACTCCCGTGAATCAGCTAGAAAGGCCAGGTTCCAGGAATGGGAAGAGTCCGTAATTACCACCTAGTAGGGATTTCTCTCCAAGCCTGTGGGCGGCAGACGTTTCCCCAGGAACATCAGAGGTAAGTGACTGCCTGATGTCACAGGCATGAAGTAAAACACAGAGCCCTGGGCACTCACCTGGCAGCCCGCTCCGTGGACTAAAGACTGGTCACTCTCCTTCCTCAGGCCTGTGGCCCGCGCTGTGTGGCCCTCACTGCGACAGCACTACAGAGAAACCCCCGAGTGCCTGGTCACCAAGGAAACTAGGGACTGCACCTAAGGCTCAGCACAGGCAGGGTGCCAGCCCTCTCTCAGACCAGCAGCCTCAGCTCAAAACCCCCAAAATGTGGGCCTGCTGGTGGCACCAAGATGATTGGGGGGGGGGGGCAGACCTCACACCAATATCTCTCTCAGGCTGCTAACCACGAGCCCGGCCCAAACTCAGGGTAGTGAGCTATGTAGCCTGAACAAACTGGGACCATGTACGGGGCCTGGCTGGCTTCGCCCCAAATGTGGCCTCTCTGCACCCTTTAGGATCTGGGTCCTCAGCCCATCTCTGAGGTCACTCTTCACCTCCTCCCGTACCTCGTACCTCGGGTACCTCGGGCTCTCCCCTCTGGGTTCCATCCTCCCTTTAGCCCTTCAGGCATTCTGTCCTGGGACTCAGCCTCTGCCCTGCCCTCCTTCTCAGCCCACTTCCCCAAATCAGCAACTCACCTGGGGCCCAGTCTACATCCTCCCCTCCCCCTCCTCTTCCTCCTCAGGCCCTGACTCTACCTTCCTATGCTAACCCTGAGTACCCCTATATCAGGCTCAGATTCCAAGATCCTTGCCCACCTTCTTATCTCAGGCTAGAGATTCCCACCCCGCAGGCCTATCAGGTACCCTGGATCTGGCTGCCCCTCCCCTCACCCCACTGCCTGCTGTCACCCTCAACTCCCAGAGACCCGAGTCCCCAGCCACAAAGCCACACTCTGCCCTCTCCCAGGGTGTGGAACTCCTTCCCTCTGGGCCCTGGTACATCCTGCATCTCATTTCTTTTTTCCTTAATGCACTGATTTCTTTTATAAACAGATTTATATTAGTAAAAAGAAGTGAGCCAATATAAAGAAAAATATCAACTAAGTAACAGTACTCAGGAACAGCAAAAATAAGGAAGCAGCTATGCAAGTGGAGAATATTTTGAATACTGCCTCAGTTGAAATGGAAATTCTGCTGCAGTAGCTTTAACTCAAATTCTGACGCACTTCCTCAAACCTTCCAGGTCAGCTTACTACCTGTCCGGCTCACCAAGTCAGGCAGTTTTACTCAGTCACATCTCTGTGTCAATAGTTGGAGGCCGAAGGCTCTGTGGAGCCCAAAGACCGGG